TGTAATATTATTATTATTTTTTTTGAGCTTGATGAATCTGATTGAAAGTTAACGTCTTTTTATTAATTTTATTTAAAGTGTTTTACCAGTAATTGATTTTATACTTTGAAATTATTCGATAGTTCATTTTTGACCTCACTGTGAAATATAGACTAGTTTAATCGAAACTTACTTAATTGTTTTATTGGTTTACCTAGGCTAGGTCAAGGTTTGGTTGAATTATATACCTTATTTTTATTTCCTTTTCAGAATTACCAATTACAGTTTGCTGATTATTTTTTTTTAGGTGTGTTCCTGAATTTTCACATCCCAATATTTTATGTAATTTAATTAATTTTTTTTTGATAAAAATTCAGTACTGCCTTTGCCATTCTGTACTATCAACCCACCCCTAATAATTATTCGCTGAGCAAACCGCGCATATTATGGGCCTCTTGTTAAATTTTGACTCCTGAAAAAGGAAGATAACCTCGACTACAAATTACCTGGTCCTTCTGGTAGGGGGTTGGGGCATCGGGCTAGCTCTCCATTTCTCGAAAAAACTGTAGACTGTTGAAAGACTAGATCAACAGCCCCAGAACAGGACCGAAAATTGGAGACGAACTATGCAACATAAACGGACAATGAGTATTGGCACATGGAACGTCCAGGGAATTTCTAAAAGTTGAATTAAGTGATCAAAAATCAAAAAATGAACCTGAATCAATAAATAAACCGAATAATACATGCGTTCTGAAGAAGAATATGGGAAAGACTATGAAATCGACCGTATGAAGATAAATTATATCAACAGCTCAATGATCAAATCATAAGAGTAGACTAATCAAGGGAAATAATACCGATGGAAGACTTTAATGGAAAAACTATGAATTATTTAGTGTGGTCAAGGGGTTACTTGCTTTTTTTATTTAAATAATTATTTATATTTTAAATTTTCTATAATTATTCAGTCCATATGGCGGCATATATTGCCGGCTGAATTAATTATTTTATCGGTTACTTCGAGAAGGGCGACCTTGTACTACCTTAATCTACTCGACCTAGTACTTCGATGCTCTTTAACCTCGTTAATAGTTTTCGAACGTAGTGCTTTTCACATAGCTGAGGGTCGACAGGCTGACAGGTTTTCGTTCAAGAATGTCAAGTGAAGATATATATATTCTGGAAGAGAAAATTGAAGAGCCTTTTTCTATTCTTGCCGTTCCCTGAAAAGGTCGACTGTGGTCTAGGGGGCCAGCCATCTTCCTAAGTGAAATATAATATCGATTACCGTTCTCGTGAAAAAAGTACCTTATCGGCCATCTGGCATTATTTTAACGAAATAAAGTTGCGTAAGGCAATACATTGATTACCGAAAAAATTTGAATAGATAGTCTCGTGATTGCCGTTTTATTTGAGTTTTAATTTCAAACCCCCTCGTGGTAAATCTTTTTTTTTCAAGTAATGGTTGTTCATGGAATGCCTCTATTACTTAGGGTTTTTACCGGAAAGCTGTTTTTCCGCGGAGCTGTTTTTTTACAGAAATCTATTTGCAACAAGCCCTAAAGATCACCGTTTTCGTGCAGCGTGGGCATAGAGCTCTTGAGTCCCTCACGAGTCGATACCTGTACCTCGACATTTGACGAAGAAAACTGAACTTCTAGCCTCTATCTACCTCGACTCCAGGCTAGAATCTGCAACTTCCATGTGTAACTTCTTTTGTCCAGTGACCAAAAAATGGATGGCTACCGACTACCGTACACTACCTTATTGTTGGAATTGAGGCTTGTATAAAGTTTCAATGATAACTTTCACTACCTTTTTCTATGAAATCTATTTTATGATCAATTACCATAATTGATTGAATTTTTAGCGACATTGCTTTTAAATATTAAAAAATTTCAATTTCATTCATTATTCTTGACACCGGAGTGAACTTTATTATTTTATTTAACTTCTGATATACCGTATTTATTATAGATTTATCTTTATTTCACTTCACTTTTGGTAACGCAATTTGAGAAAAAATGTATCCTTTATTAATCAAAATCATTAATCTGAACTGAGGTCAAGGTTGGACAATATGTTCTAAATTTGAGATTATTGGGTAAGTACTTATATTATAACGCCAAAAATTGATCAATTTTTCATCTGGGTTATATTACTTATAAACTTGAGGATTTCAGTTATAACTCCTTTATCCCTTCAACGTTTAACCTTTGATTTCATACAGTTTGGATTTGATTTTACTGATTTTGTTTTTTTTTTTAAACAGAAACTGACCATCTTTATCAATACAATTTTTCAATCATTCGATTTTTTTTTCAATTAGTCTTCTGGAAACTTAAATCTTTCATATTTGCATTTCATGATAATGATATGGCCAGCGACTGTTAATGAATTTATATGGCAAGTATATTGAAGTGCATTGTTATTATGTTATTATTCTTCTTTCTATTGATTTGCCTTGAAGTGCTTTAACAACAATAATTGATTTTTTTACTTTGAAATTATTCAATTCTTGATTTTTGACCTCACTGTGAAATATACGCTAATTTAATTTGAAACTTACCTAATTGTTTCATTGGTTTACCTGTGTAAGGATTTAGTTGAGTTATGTGCCTTATTTATTTCCTTATTAGAATTACCAATTACCGTTTGCTGATTATTTTCTAGGTGTGTTTCTGAATTTTCACATCCCAATTACATAAAAAATTAATTTAATGAATTTTTTTTAAAATTTAGTGGTGCCCTTGTCATTCTGTACTTATTAAACTATCAACTCACCCTTAATAATTATTTGCTGAGCAAACCAAGCATATTATGGGCCTCTTGTTGATTCATTAACAAAAGGGATTACAAGTTTCGCAAAACAATGGGTAAATTGTCTATACCACCAGGAGTCAAATACCTATTACGTAACTTGAAATCATTCAAATTCACCATTTAATAAAACATAGAAGTTTAGAATATATGTCTGACTGCTGAGTGTATTTGAACTCAACGATTTGCTTGTGTTGATGGAAATGTCAAAATCGTAAAGCATTTTGCCAATAAATTCAGTTATAATGGGGTTTATAGTATCATTAATAAAAAAAAATCCTACAAGATCCTTATTTCATAGATGTAATAGAAGCAGTTCAAATTGATTATTGTCGCTTGAAATGATAGTCAAAGGTATGAATGGAACAAAAATTAAATCTAAGAATTTGACTGTAAACATAGGCAGTTATGACGTACATTTCTAAATAACAATCCGTTAAGTTGAATGAAACGTCCTCATCCTATCTATCACGCATATACAGTTTGTATCGACCGAAAACTTTTGAACATACTTCAAGTAGGTACAACAATCCTCATACCTAAAATTCGACAAATAAGTGAAATATTGACATTTTTGTACCTTTAACACCATTGAGCTGGGAACGTTACGAGCTTGCGCGTGCAGTAGGTACTAAAAGTGAGCTCTTCAATTTTACGTGTCTTTTTATGGATCTCGATGACAAACGCTACACGGTACGGTATAACCAACACAATATGCTAACGTCACATAACACGCGTGTCTCCGCTTGTCGTTGATTTTTGAAATCCATACTTTCCTTATGGATGGAGGAGTTATTAATTGAAAAAGTACGGGAACATGAGTCATTGTTTTTCTTATAATGATTCCCCCATAATATCCTATGACTTGCTTTATTTTCTAGTTTTTGTGAACATACTGCCGCCTCTTCGGCCTCTTCTAGTTCTTCTTCCCAATTGGAAGAATCCGTACTGCTGGCACATTCCATTTTTTAACACTATACGAATATTATTTCTTGAACTAAAATAAAATTGGCGGAAAAAATCTAGTCAGTGTCGATACAGGGTATGAACCGTGTTGTGTGAGCAAATAGTGTGTTTCTAAGTTCAAATTTGTATTACACGTCACGGTACGCGCCAGCTCGTAACGTGACGTACCGTGTCGAAGGTGTAATCCCGGCTTTACACTACTCTTGCCTGGATTCGATTTATAAAGCTACCTTCTGGCTTTGATAGGCAAAAGTTCACTAACGTACGGCAGCGTCAAAATCAGTTCCAGAGGCAATAACATACTCGGTTCTCCATACACTCAAAGTTTTGCTTTCCCAGAAATACCGGATCTCCTATAATCTTTTGGGAATGTTGCAATTTATTGTTTCTATAACTCGAATGAGATATAGTCGTTTATGTCGTTAAAAATTTGTTGCCAAGATACAAGTCTTGTTGTCGAAAATACAAGAATTTATTTCTAAATTAATGATTTGGGTGAAATAAAAAAATCGTTGATAAGCACTTGCTCTGTTTTGGGAAAAATGTGCTTATAAGTTGATACAAGGAGGTAAATTTGATAGAAGAAGAAACTATATATAAAAGAGTGATTTTGTGAGGATCCTATGAGAAATTTTAAAAAAATTGTGAGAACATCCATATCAGAATGCAAAAAAGGTCAAACAGGTGGTTGTAGACACACGTGATTGCTAATTGACTTTATCAGATCATCAGGTCTAGCCGTTCCAGCTAGGCCACCTTTTTCCTAGGTAACGTTAATTTTGAAAATAAATAAAGGAATCATGGCGATATCAGTGCCTATGTATATCACATTTTATCAATTTTACTTTTTTGTTGTAAATATTTAATTAAAGAGATAACAGAGTTAGTATACCAAAACCACATTCATATTACCTATGGAAACAACCTCGAAAAAAACACAGGGGAAGGACACAGGGTTTGTCACGCACAAATTTTAAATAAAAAAGCAAAATATTTTAAGGCTTGGGGGAAATATTGATTATCCGATAAAGAGCACATTAAAAACATTGAAACGAATGAAAAAATAATGGAAAATGGTGCACGTGAGTGGTAAACGGTTGACCGAACGGTGACTTTTCTTTTTCGTGTTCGCTTTATGAAATATAGTTTTATTATAGTGGTGATAAAAAGTTAAATTGGTTTCCTAAACATGAATCGCGACGTAAATACGCGTTTTCTCTAACCAAGATTACCATGGTGCGTTCTCAGTCCTCATCTTTTTAACATTTTCTTCATATTTTACTATTTTGAACATTTTGTACTGCTAGAAAAAAATAATTGAGAATTAAATTGATTACTTTTGATATGGCTTTTCGAAGCTTTATTGCTTTTTATGATAATTTGTCCATCCGTGACAATAAAAATGCTAGTTTACGTAAAAAACATTCCCCCTCGATAAATATGTTGACGTGTTTTGGCGATTTCCACAAATCTGTCTCTTTACGCTGATAATGTGGGTGGCAAGTTTTGAAATGAAACCCCCTATATTTCCTGTATGACCCGAAATCCATGGTAATGGGATACTTCAATGTCAAAGATATAGAATAAAGCTCCCTTAGTAACCGAAGCAAGAGACCAACGTCTACAGGAAGCGGCAGTGGCAATAGGACGGATCGTTCAAAACAGGAAAAACAAACTGATAGTTGTTAGACGTAACCACAGATCGTTGATAGACCTGACCTTCACATCCTCAACTTTGGCAGGGAAAGTGACCGACTGGAGAATCCTAGATCATGAACCTTTCTCTCCACACAGACACATAGTCTGTAAAATCAATGACAACCACAAACCAATGACAGCGCCAAGAACTATAATCAGCTCGATACCCGGGCTAAAACAAACAGGTATAGTTAACGATTTATTACGCCGCCCCTGATTCTAGAAACAAGGAAGCATGGTTCCTGTGAGAACAAGTACCCTGTCCTTCTCAGTTCCACGCAAAATCTCACATCAGTGAAAGACTGGAATTTTTTCTCGTCCTTCACGTCTCAATTGCTTCGAGGATTCAGACGACTGCATCGCTTTAATAAGAGCCTACACAAGGCTAGTATGGTGAAGCTCACTACCACACGTCATCGACGTATGGTAGTGAGTATAACGCTGCATATGAGAGAAAAAAGAAGGAATTCAAAAAAAAAAAACATAAAAAGAAAAATATGCGACGGGCTCAACTACGATATTTTGACAAGTAACAGTTGCGGTCATTGGAATTGGCACAAATTTTTGAACGCGCTTTGTATAGGCCAAAACTGACACAATTTTGGCATTAATGGCTTGTTAAGAAAATCAAATGTTGATGCAATACAAAATGCGTTCAAAAATTTGTGCAAATTCCAATGGCCACAACTGTACAAATTTATCAAGAAAAATCAAAAATTCTGACATCCACGATTATAGCTGATAGAAGCACGTGAACACGCTGTGCGGGAAAACCGGTTTCTGACAAGGAATGATGCCCTACCTACTTGCACATATGATACCCTCAACCACAAACTTCGACTACCTGTGAGCAGGTCCGGGTTGATTTTATTTATTATACCTGCCTAGGTGAGATGTACATGTAAATGTGGGTGAATGTTTTAGTTAAATTATTTAGTCTTTGTGCAGAACTAGAGCTGTTATATTGACAAAAAAAATGTGGCGTCCATGGGCAAATGATGGTAGTATTGCAACCGGAAGTGGTATTTCAAAAAAAAAACATTTATCGCTAGATGCCAAGGAAATTGTGAGGAACGTTTATTTAACCCTTCTGCAGAGAGGCTATAATCATAATCAAAGTGTGAGTGAATCATCCGTTTTAACCAAAACTCCATTATCTACGGTTAAAGATATCGTAGCCAAACGCATCCAGCCAAGGAAGCAACGGTGTGACCTCGGCAAGTCAAGAAAGGTTGAAGAAGCGGATAAAGAGTTGATTCGTAGGAAAATTTATGATTTGTACAGTAAACAAATAATACCTACAATAGATTCTCTAAAAAAGGTACTTATAGAAGACGAAACTGATATATTATGTAGCAGAACAAGCCTTTGGAGAATTGTGAAAGCAATGGGTTTCAAATATCAAACCATTAATAAGAGGCAAGTGCTAATGGAATCCCAGCGATTACAAGCATGGCGTCGAGAATATTTAAGTTCCATAAAACAATATAGGGCAGAAAATCGTCCGATAATATATCTTGACGAAACATGGTTTGATACCCATGACACTCCCAAAAGAGGATGGAGCGACTCAACCTCCAAATGTCAAACCAAAGCACCCTCAAATAAAGGCCAGAGGATTACAATTTTGCATGCCGGATCAGAAAATGGTTTTGTTCCAAACTCTTTGCTGCTATCCGCAAAAAAAATAGCCAATTCATCATTAGATTATCATCAAGATACCGATGCAAAATTATTTGAAGAATGGTTTCAGAATCGCCTTCTTCCGAACATACCAGAAAACAGTATAATTGTGATGGACAACGCTAGTTACCACAGCCGTCAAAAAAATAAAGTGCCCAATGCAAGTAATACAAAAGTAGAACTTCAAAAATATATGATGGAAAATGATATGTATTTCGAAGAAAATTATACAAAGAAAGATCTTTTAAACGTTTTGAAATCATATAATGTTAAAAAAGAATATATTTGTGACGATCTTGCTAGCGCTTGTGGTCATACAGTTTCGCGTCTTCCTCCATATTATTGTATTTTCAATCCAATAGAACATATCTGGCATGAATTGAAGGCAATGGTTAGGAGAGGAAACACCTCTCCTACACTTAGTACTGCTGTAATAGATTTAATTAGAAAATGTGTAGATAATATTCCAGTTCAAAGCTGGAAAAATTCTGTCAATCACGTTATAAAAGTTGAAGAAACCTATAATTCAATAGGTATTAATGTTAAGCCATTAATAATTAGTTTAGGCATAGATGAAGATGACAGTGACAGTGAAACGGAACTAAATATAGATTAGGTTTGGTTGAATTGTGTATTGTATTATATTGTATTAGATATTAAGTTTTGGTAATTATTAAGATAGTATAAGATTATAACATAAATAAATAATATTATGAAACGCCTTTTTCGTTTTCATTATAATGGGCACAAAATCCGTACCTGTAAACCTTTGAGTGGGTATTAAGGAACCCGGTACCTACATAAAAGAACCTGGTACCTACACAATAGAGGCTAATAGCTATCTAATTTATGGTAGGGTTTTATAGCCGTGAAGTCAACGAAATATTTTGGAATGGACTTTACCAAGAAGTCTGCAGTTAACTGAAAACAGGTGAAGCGCCAGGACACAATGGTGTACCAGAGAAATTTACCAATACCGCTCGTCAAATAATGTTGGGAACCTTAACACACTAATAGCACAGCAAACCTCCCCTGGGGACTAGAAAATATCAAGGCTTGTTCTTACTCACAATGAGACGAAACCCCTGGATTCTTTGGAAGGACACTTTGTGCAATAGGCCTACCAGCAAAGACTCATGAACATATAAAAAATACAAGACTAGAAGCAGAAATAGAAGAGAGGGTCCTCTATCAGAAGACAATATGGTTGCCGAAAGGGCAGATCCACACTACTAGCCATAAAACGAGCAATTGAGCCAGTAACACTAAATATCACGGAGACGGAGAAACATGGAGCGCGACTGTCATCATAGATGTAAAAAATTAACTAAACTCGTATCAAAGGCACGTAGGCAGCAATACTGAGAAAACTACGAAAAAAAAATAAGCAGTGGAAAATATTGTAAAGTTTTAGCGGGCATTCCACAAAAAACCGTGATCTGTCCAGCATTTTGGAATAAATTCTTCGACCTGGTGTTGAAACTGAGGTAGGTACCTAAGAATTAAAGAAGTTATATGTTCTATATAAGATGACCGAAAACGCCTCGAAAAAAACTAGTATCTCTAGGTCAAATGATGTCAAACATCAGCGGTCCGGAATATGGAGAAAGATTGACATTGTACGGGACGATTCAGTCCTCTCTACTATATGGATCCTCAATTTGGAACGCGATTACCACCATAGAAAACTATGAAAAGATGCTGTTGAGCTCACGAAGAATAGCCCTACTGAGAAAGAGGATGGGCTATAGGACTATTTTCCCGGAGGTTGTTCAAGGGATTACAGCTATTCCACCGATAACACAAATTATTGACGGGAGGGCCTGGCTGCTGGAAACTCCACACACAGCAGACACACGAGAACAGGCAATACAAGAGACATTGAAAGGACGGCAGTGATCCTGGGACCATACGACTGACCAGGAGATGGGTGGGAAGTGATTGCAGAAAAATAGATGACACCATCATAGACTAGAAACGAAGTTGGAACGTCACGGAATTGATGATCCCCCCAGAAACAAACTGGAATGCAATTTATAAAATGCTAAATATTATTATCGAGAACAAAAGAAACGAAGAGAAACTGCACCAAGAAGAATATGAGCAATAAGACTGTCGAGATGCTGGGATAAAGTTATGCCTGGAAGTGGGGTCCCACCCCGGAATGCACACCACGGAGAGAAAGCGTTTTTAGTCTGTCGGAACCCTCAGAATCAAGTGCCATCCTGACACTCTCCCTCACCACCAAATCAGGGGGGGGAAAGTCTTAACTGCAGATTTTCCTCAGCCACTTATTTCCAAAATAAAATTAAAATTTGTCGAAAAGAAAAATAGTTTGTCGAAACCAGTTTTTGTTTTTCAAGCAACAAAATATTTTGAAGCTAGATGTGAAACAACATGCATAGTAAATGATAATTACTCTAAATACAATTTAGTAAAAAATGGTAGCGACAAAAGTTTTTACATATTCCCGGTATAATTTGTGCATGTTAAGCAGTTAATGATTATGGATGTCAATGACAGATATCTATATAGGTATAGTTGAATGGTATCGATGACATGTGTTTTCATAACAGTGATTTCACTAATCAATACAATTTGGCGATGAAAATCAAGTAGATCGGATAATTTTGAACATAAGAATGACCAAAATATCCGAAGTGTTGCAAACTACACTCAGTGGTTTGGTATAATCTCTTCAATTTCCATCAATTGAGCATTTCTACAAATAGTCTCAGAAAAGCATTACAAATTCAGCATTTTAATTCTAAATTTTTCGATGAAAGTTCTGAGGATTTTGTATCCTCTGCCTTTATTGAAGGTTAGACAGTTATTTCCAAATGAAAGGAAAGAACTGATCAAAAATAAGAATGAAACCAACGAAGCAAATCATAATTTTAAACAACTGAAAAA